CTCCCCCCCACCCCACTTCCCAGCTTTCCTTCGTGGGCTGCCTTCCCCCATTAGACTGGAAGCTCCTTCAGGGCAGGGACCGACTGTTCGTTTGTATTTATAGCTATGTAGCAACCTCGGCAAAGGGCTGGCTGACTCCTTTGACCCCCTGGGAGCTCTGGTTCTTCCCAGATTGGGAAGAGAGGAAACCAATGCAAGCTCAGTGGTGGAAGGGGAGAGGTTTTTCACATATGGCTATGGCAGAGTACATGGGAGAGAACAGGAAGCAGGAATACACCACGAGACAGGACCTCAAGGGTGTTCATGCCTCATCCTCCCTTCTCCCTCCCCTGCTCTTCTAGGTACCAGTCAAGGCTCTGAAATTATACTCAAGAAAGTCATTGTTGTTGGGAGTGAGGAGGGACACACACACACACACACACACTATAAGACACAAGGAGGGAAGAAAGGAGATGCAGGGGTCATCCCATGACAGCCCAGGAGACTGGAGCATAAGGCCATGAGAGGGATGCTTTCCCTCTGGATGGTCAGACTGGGAGGTCTACGTGTATTTTATCACAGGTGCTTGTGTGCCAGAAACAGGAGCAGGGAGAGAAATACGGCTGAAGGACAAGAGGGGAACAATGGGTGAGCCGTGCCCCACCCCCACCTTATTTCCAGTTGTGCTTTTCTTATACTTGTTCTGGTAAAGAACCAGTTTTGCTGGATTTCATCTTGTTTCTCAGAAACACTTGCAGTTAACCCTGTCCTTCTGTTGCTCAATGTCGCACTGTCTGTGTCATGATGGTTTGCTGGGAGCCACAGGAAAGGAGGACCCTTCCTAGTGCAGGACTCCAGCCCATTGCTGGAGTTCTGTTCTCTGGCTGGAAGCATAAGCACGAGCCATTTAGCAACTGCTACTCTAAGTGCAGAATCACTATGAATTTGGGCATGAATCTTCCTTTTAGATGCAAGTCAAATTACATTTGTAACACTTAACAGTGCCTGGTACATAATACATGTGTAATAAATGAGTATCTACATACCTACCTATTCCCTCTGTCTCTCTCTCTCTCTGTCTCCCTGTCTGTCTCTGTCTGTCTCTCCATTCATTCATCCATCTATCCCCTTAGCTCTCAGGTTAGCGCCTCAGCCAGCATAGCCTGAGGGGGGTTGCCTGGAGGAGGAAGGGATAGGTCACAGATTCAATTATACTTTGCCACTTCTACAGGGGTCCCTGGTCATGTTTCCCTTTTTACAGACAAGGAAGTTTGGATGCAGAGTCACTGAACGACTCATTGTCTGAGCCTGGCATCCTGGTGCTCTGGGGCCATCACACAGCCAGGGTAGTGGTGGTTATGGTAATGTCCCCTCAACAAACTATGGGTCCTGCTCATAGAACATCATTTGCTAAGACCAAGAGGAAAGGGGTGAAGACTGGGGGGGGGTCAGGTTGTGGACCCAGTTGTAGAAAGGATGTAGACCCTGCTCAGACTAGTCTGGCTAAGGTGCTAACCTGAGGACTAAGGGTATGGCTGAATGGGTGGCTAGCTAGATGAATGGATGGATGGATGGATGGATGGATGAATGGATAGATAGATGAAAGATAGATAGATGGATGGATGGATGGATGGATGATGGATGGATAGATGATAGATGGATGGATAGATGGATGGATGGATGGATGGATAGATGGATGGATGGATAGACAGATAGATAGGTAGGTAGATAGGTAGATAGATAGAACAGAAGAACAGAGGCAGGGGAAGATTGCCTGTGTAGTCCTAACACTGGGGCCTGCTTTTGCATTCAGTGTCCAACTCTATGAGTGATGAGCAGTTACATCCAGAGGACCCAACCAGAGATAGGATATCAAATAGAAAAGACTGGCCCCTAAAGTGGCAAGACCTAGAGAGCACCCAGATGTGCTGGGCTGGACCTATGGAAGAATCTGTGGCTTAGTCCAGAGGGCCACTGGCTGTACTGGAGAGATTTACTAATCCTGCACAAGGGAGCTTTGTTGATTTCCTTTCTGGCCCTGGTTATAGCCCTTGGTGGGAGTAGCTGATCTACATCTAGATACCTTGAGCTGCCCTAGAATGCCAGGCTGTGGGCTGTGTCCCTAGTTACAGACTACCTACATCTTGAAGAAGTTTCAGATACCTGGTCAGTGTGGTGGTTGTGAAAATATGTTTCTGATTGTACTCCTTTCATTGAGTAAGAACTTTATATATCAGAAAGTTGTCTGCTTGCCTGTGTGGTGGACTCCATTACACCTTCCTCACATGACTAGGGCTTAATGAAATCCACTGCATGGGAGGCTACAGAATTGTTCTGATGGGTGGGGGCTTGAGCCCTGCTGTGACTGGACAAAATTGTACTATACTGAACCCCTTGGATTAAGGAGATGAATTCTGCCACTGTGAGAGGTAGAGCTGGGCCAGGAAGTCCCCAGTTCTCTGAGAGCCAGAGAGAATTTGGCACTTTCTACTGTGGAGGTCTGTGAAGAACCACCAGAGGAACATGACCCTTCCCAGAATCTGGTTCTTTTGGCAATTTGGAGTAGGAGACTCCACTCACCGTCTTCCCCATCTCTGATGGATTTCCCTGGGGCCATACCTAGTGAGGGGCAGTAGTGACACCTGGTGGGTAAATGAGTTAGCTATGAAGCCACTGCACTGGCTCCATTTTAAGACACTAATAACTGAAGTTTCAGCCACTGTCCTCAACCTCACAGAAGGGACTCTGTCCCCTGAGGGAGTGAAAAGAAAACCAAAGCAGGATGCCAGGAGTACTCCATACATCTGCTGAAGGGCAGCTTGCTGGAGACTGGCAGAACCCAGAGGCTCAGTGCAGGCAACACAGGAGTCATGGCTGTTCCATATTGGGCAGGCAGATTAGCAGTCCTCTCTGCTCCAGAATGTTTGTTCCTCTTCCTCCTCTTTCCAGGGCTTTGGGCCATCTATTTTTACACATCTCCAGAGACTATGGCTCCCTGGGAGAGGGTGGACAGCTTCCCCTCGAAGCTGCTGCTGCGACTACATAGATCCCAAGGATTTTCTCAATATTGAGCTTCATTTGCCCCCTTTAGACCATCACACTGCTCTCAGCCCCTGCATCATCTGATCATGGGGCCAACAGGCTTCAATGCCTGTTGACTGTTACCGTGTCTGCCAAGCCTGGGCTCCCCTCCCTTTTGGCTTTTCTCCAGGAGAGCTACCCCCAGTTTAGAGTACTCTTGAAATAGCCTGTTCTATGGGATACTGAATTCTGGGGGGGCTCTCTTCTTTGTCATTGAGGTCCTGTATGTGTATGCGTGTGTGTATGTGTGTGAATGTGAGTGTATGTGTGTGTGTGCGTGTGTGTATAAACATGTGAGTGTGTGTATTTTATTGAGAAAAGGAGGTGTATCAAGTCACAATGGACACACACCCCATGGTGGTATGGAAGGGATTTTTTTTGGGGGGGTGAGGGGCAGCCCCAACAAAGGTTGGACGGACCTTGGTCATGGCTACTGTCCTGTGACCTTTGGTTCAGACACAGGCTGAAGCAGATGATCTCTGAGGTCTCTCCTCACTCTGTGAACCTAGCAGTTATCGGAATGATGGCGTCTCATGCCCAGGCCCAAGAGACACTGGGTTTTTCACCACTCACTCTTTGACAGTGTGGGCAGGTTCATGTTAGTAATTTTCAGCTCAGCACAAATTTCTGGTCTCTTTTAGGTTCATTGCTAAATGTGTATTCAAAATTTTTTGGGGGGGCTAGGCATTCAGAGTTAAGTGATTTGCCCAGGGTCATACAGCTAGTAAGTATCAAGTGTCCAAGGCTAGATTTGAACTCAGGCCTTCCTGACCTCCAGGGCTGGTGCTGTATCCACTGCACCGCCCAGCTGTCCCTTATTCGTCAGTTTCAATGGTTGTCTGGGACAAAGTAATTGTCAACTAGAAGAGGCAGAATCAAGTTTCTCAGTCTAAACCAAGAATGACTTAAGCCCTTAGTATGTGCTAGGCACTGAGCTAAGCTTTGGGGATCCAAAGAAAATCCAAACTAGCTGGCTGAGAGCTGGCCTCTGGAGCAGAGCCCTTTAAGGCTCATCACCCACTTTATATTGACTCAAAAAACAATCCCTGCCCTCAAAGAGCTTACATTCTAACGAGGAGGGAGCCTTCCATGCAGACAAATTCACAGTTTCTGGCCTCCAAACCCACCTTCATTAAAGAGGGAACCTGGCAAAGGGGAGAGAATGTTTGTCTAGGACTCAGAAAGACCTGGGTTCACACCCTGCTCTGACGCTACGCCCACGAGTCACTGCTTCTAGTTGCCTCAAGAAACTCCCTTTTACTTGTCTCTCCACTTTCTCTTTCTGTCTGTCTGTCTCTTTGTCTTTCTCTCTCTGTGTCTCTGTCTCTCCATCTCTCTCTGCCTCTCTCTCTCTTCTCTTTCTCCGTCTTTTGGTCTCTCTCTGTCTCTGTCTCTCTGTCTATCTGTCTCTGTTGCTCTCTTTGTCTCTTCTCTTTCTCTTCCTTTCTGTCTGTCTCTCTCTCTGTCTCTCTTTGCCTCCCTATGTCTCTCCTCTTTCTCTTTCTCTGTCTGTCTCTCTGTCTCTCCATCTCTCTGTCCATCCGTCCATATCCTTAGCTCTCAGATTAGCACCTCAGCCAGAGCAGCCTGAGGAGGGTTGCCAGGAGGGGGAAGTGATAGGTCACAGATAGGTCACTTCATTCCCTGGCCACATTGCCCTTTTCACAGACAAGGAAATGTGGATGCAGAGTCATTGGCCCGCTCCTCCTTGTCTGAGACCCGCATCCCTGAGCCCTGCTTCCACTGCTCAGTAGCGTTGCCCTGCCCTCACCGTGCCCCAGTCCTCGCAGCACGTTTCTAACCCCATCGCCATTCCTTCCCAACAGCATGTCACTGGCCCAGCCATGGACCAGGCCTTGGCACAAGCCATCCCTGAGGTTCCAGATGGACCAGGCGCCTTGGCTCCCCCGGATGACCCACGAACTGGGCCGAGGCCTTACCTACTATCATGTGGCTGCAGGCATCACAGAAGGTGGGCTTCTTGAAGATGTGCTCCTGGAAGGCGTGGACCCCGCCGTGGGCCGGGGGCTGCAGCCGCCCTCTGGTGGGTGTGGCGCTCAGGCTCCCAGTGCCAAAGTGGGGCTGGCTGCCGCGGCTCGAGGGGATCTCGGGCAGTGCGTCTGCCGGCAGCTTTCCGTCACTGCCCGTCCCTTGGAAGAAGTTGTCGGCACTTTTACTCCGTAAACTTTTGGTCTTGAAAGAAAGCGACCGTTTCAGCTTCTGCAGCTGCAACAGAATGACAGAACAGTCCCCCTTACTGGCCATCACGTGGACTCCTGTGCTCTCGGTATCTGCCTGGTCTCCCTGGCATCACTGATGCCCCCAAGGGGTACCAGACTCACCACTTCCCTGTTTAGAGGGAGATGTGGGCACAGTGGAAGGAAGCCATGCCTCTAGCGTCCAGCCTGGACAACAGAGATCGAGTGTAACTAGCCAGGCAGGAGGCGGGCAGGGGCGGGGGGTGGGCTGGAGAAGCAGCCTGCATCATTCTGCTCCTCCTATGCCTCCCAGCCTCTCTACAAACCTCCCAAGAGCTGCTAGCTCCGATGCCAAGACTGGGAGGTGACTGGATTGTTATCCTTGAAACCGAAAGCTCCAGAATCTCCAAGCTGGAAACGGTCTTGGGGTCACTTGGCCCAACCCAATCTGAGAAAGTAGTTTGTGTGCAGCATAAATGACAAGTGACCATCCACTGCCTCTCCAGACAGCCCATTCTCCTGAGAAGTAGCCCTGATGGTTAGGAAATTTTCCTTACATAAAGCTTAATGCTCCTATAATTAAAGAAATTACAATTCCACTGGAATTGTGGAACATACCAGGGGCTGTGTCATGTGAAGAAGGGGGCTCACTTTGGGTGCTGCTGAGACTCCAGGTCCAAACATGGAGAGCGGGGTCCATGAGGCAAATATCTGGATGATTCTATTGAAAACAGTCAGCAGCAGACACAAGAGGAGAACTTGTTTCACTTTGGAAGCAACATGGTGTCATTTGGGTTACTGTTTGGACAGAGGACCTCACCCTGGCTGCCCATGAGACCTTGGCCAAGTTACTTCTTCCTAGGACCTGATTTTCTTAGAATTGGGGGGTGTGTGTAATCTTGAGGGCCCCTTCCAGATACAAAATTTTATTATTTTGAATCAAGAATCCTGGGTCCTAGTCCTGGAGCTGCCTCTTACCTATCCTAGGCAGGTTATTTCAACTCTGAACCTGTCTTTTCATCTCCACAATTGGAATAATGACATCTGTCCTGTCCACTTCCCAGGGTGGATTTGAGAATTCAGGGAGGCAGAAAAGTCTCCAAGGGGAGAGAAGGAGAAGGGATGGGGCACCAAGAAGAGGATGTTGTCTTGCGTTCTCCCAAGATGTCAGATGAATCCTTGCAGGACCGTGGTCCATATCACCAGGGCTTCACTCCTGCTTGCTGGCCTCTTCAGTTCCATAGGTCTAGTTAGCACCTCTCTGCCAATGACTCTGAATTATATATCTAGCCCTCTCGTCTCCTGAGGCCCCAGATACCTCTCTAACATAAGGAACCCCAGAGAGAAATCCTTCTCCCCTCCCCCCCAAGTCATCGCTCCTTCTGACTTCTCTGTTCCTATTGAAGGCACCACCATCCTCCTGTCTCCCATGTTCACCACCTCGATGTCATCCTCCACTCCTCATGCTCCTTCAGCCATCATTTTTAATCAATCGGCAAGTTGTGCTGATCTTCTCTCCTCCACACCTTCCCTTTCCCCCTTTTTCTCTACTGACGCCATAGTCATCCTAGTGTCCTAGGGTCTTAGCTTCTCTCAAGTGGACTCCCACAATAGCTGCCTAATTGCCCCTCCATCATTTTGTGTTTATTCTGTATGCATCTTTGATTTATCTGGTGAACATGTTTTATTTCCTCACTGGAATGCAAACTCCCTGAGTTCAGGAAAGCACTTAGCATAGTAAGCAATAAATCAATCCTAGACAATCACAATAAAAACTAGCATTTATGCAGCCTCTCAGAGTTTGCAAAGCACTTTTAAATATATTGTTTCTACAGATCACTGACAGTTAGGAAGGCCATGAGGTATCTCTCTGAACACTGATGGAGGTTGTTTTCCCCTTATGATTAGGTTAAGTATCCCTCACATACCACTTCGCTCATTATAGACCATTCCTCGAATTACTATCATCTCCAGGTATTGGAACGGATACAAAGGTGTCACATGCACTAGAATTGGGAGCGCTCCAGGTCCCCTCCCCCTTCTCCTCCCAGCTGTATTGGGCAAAAAGGGGCTCAAAGAAGCACCCAGATTGTTGCTCAGGGTGGTTGGGAGGATTCAAACCGCCTGCACAGGTGAGGCAGAGCTGTTCACTTATGTATTGTTTATATATGCCAAGGAGAATAATGACCTTGAGATCAGAAAGGACTGAACAAGATTCCAGGGAGTACCTGGCTGCCCTGAGTTCGAATGACCTGATCTAGGTGAACTGCATTTGTGAATACTCAAAGAATTCGAAGATGTGGTGGCTGAGCCGGTCAGTGAAACTCAAAAAATCCCGAAGAGCAGGAGAGGTGTTGCAGGCCTGGAGAAGCCAGTCCAATCCAATCCACATTTATTAAGCACCTACTGTGTGCCAGATACTGTGCTAGGTGCTGGGTAAACAATAAAAGGAAGGGCAGTCCCTGCCCTCTCAGAGCTTACACTCTAATGGGGAGGGGAGCCAGAAAAGCAGGGATGGGACCCAGGGAGCGTCCGGTGCAAGAGTGTCGCACTTTGTGCAGTTGAAACCAGGCAGAGGATCAGATGCAGAGTGGATCGAGCTGAAAAGTCCGGTTTCTGCCCTGGATAAAGGAAGGCACAGGGGAAGTTCAGCATCCGCCCTCCAGCCTCAGAACAAAGGGGAAAGGAAGAGGAGGGAGGTGGTGAGATTAGAGGGGATGAGTTTCACCTGGGAGGGGCACCGAGATCAGGCAGCAAAGCAGAAGCAGAGTGGTGAACAGCAAAGTCCTATTGTTTTGTTTTGTTTTGTTCTTTGTTACTTTTAATGAGAATAGAGTCTGTGAACTCTAGGTCAATGAACTGAGCCTGTAGTGAAATTGTAGAATGTCTTATCAAAGAGGAGGCTGATGAACACTTAGAAAAGGATCCCTAAATCAGGTCTGGTTAGACCAAGAACAGGCCATCCATACAAGTTTGTAACCGGGGTTTTGTTATTGCTTTCTCTGTTGGGGAGGGGCGTCTCCAGGGGGTTTTCAGGGACCTGACTGGCCCAGGCAATGCTAGGTAACCACATTTTTATCAGTTTTGTGAGTGAAAGCATCTGTAACATTTTCAGCTGACTTTAAGCTGGAAAAGATGGTTAACGTGCTAGGAGACAGAGTCAGCATCATGCAGGATTGAGACAGGCTGACCTGAATCTACGAAAAAGGTGGAAAGCTATTGAGGTAAATGAAGCAGCGCCGTTGGGCTAAGCATGGACTTTCAAGTGTCTTTTGGGAGAATTCTGGCTCCCCAGTGTATGAAAATCAGGGGCTGAAAGCCAAGGACATGAAAGTCTCAGGAGCTGATCTTGGGCTACAGGCAAAGAAACAAGAAAAGAGATAGTCCCTCTGCCCTGGTCAGATCACCTCTGGATGACTAGGTTCAGTTCAGGAAGGGCAGCACAGTACAGGGCATAGAGCACTGGACTACGTGTTAGAAAGACCTGAGTTCAAATCTCGCCCTGGATATTGACTAGCTGTAAGACCCTGGGCAAGTCACTTAACTTTTCTCAGGGCCTCAGTTTCCTCATTTGTAAAGTGGAGTGTCAGACTGGATGGTGTCTAAAGTTCCTTCCAGCTCTACATCTGTGATAAGGACATTAATACATTAGATGGCAGATGAAAGACAGTGGACAGTGAAGGATGCATGCCGTGAGATCATTTGAAGGAAAGCTTGAGGCTGGGCAGGGCAGCTGTCTTTGAGGATCTGAGAGGCTGTCCTGGGGAAGAATGAGTGCTTTCTTCTGCTGCTCCTCTGAAGATATAGCCAGGAAAGGGGCAGGGGGAGTGGGAGGAGCTGCTAGGAGGCACATTGGGCCTAATTCAATTTGAAACTTCCTCACAATTAGCGTTCACCTGGAGTTGAAGGGGCCGCCTCAGGAGGCAGCAGCTTGTGGACTGGAGATTCTCAGGTTGAGGCTGGATGGCCTTGGGAGTGGAGGAGGGGCTGTAGCCGGGGTTGTGGCTGGGTCTGAGCTGGACCAGGTGCTAACTGAGGTCCCACCCGACTCTGATCTGAGCTTTGGGGATTCTCCGAGTTGGGCTTCTGGGTCTCTATGGAATTGGTCCCTTCCTTTCTTTGGTGGGGCAAGGCTTGAGAGTGTGTTGGCAGGCCTTGGGGTCACAGGTGGCAGCTAAGCAGCTTCTAAAGTCCAATGAAAACTTGCATGGAGGAGCATGAGAGCATCATTGGTCTGAACTCCTGTTCCAGCAACCCCTGGATCTACGTCTGCCTTTTATCATTTGTCTGGTTAAAACCAAGGAGGGTGTGTGCCTATGCATGTGTGTGCATGTGTGAGTGTGTGCATGTGTATACGTGTGTATGTATGTGTCTGTGTGTGCGAGAGACACTTGCTAACTGAACACCTGTGTTTGATGACTTCTTTCCAGAAACCACTCTGAACGCTCATAAATTGGAGAATCCTGTAAATTCCCATGGCAGGTGTCTCCTCCACAGCCACTCTGTGAGGCACATGGAAGCCTGTTACAGGAGGTAATCTGAGGAGGAATGGGGGGGAGAGAATGGGCTAGAAACAGGCTTTCCCACTCCGTTTAGAACGAGCCAGAGCTGGAGGGCTGCTCGTCAGGACTTTGGGCTTCAGCATTTTCAACAGAGGATCATGACATCATGGGTCTAGAGCTGGAATGGTCCCGAGGGGTCACTTAATAGAGGAGGGTGTTGAGGACTGTAGAAAGGAGGGGCCTTGCCTCAGATAATGGGAGCAGTAAATGGCAGGACGTGGGGCTTCTGACTCCCACTCCAATGTTCTCTTTTCTGTATTACAAAGTATCACCTAGGTGGTCCAGAAGGATGGGAGGCATGTTGAGGGGGAAGGCTAGCTCTCCAAAAGCTTAGAGACAACAATTCATATGGCATTTCTAGGGGTTATGTGGGTGGGGATTTGTGGGCACCTTCCTTCTGTTAAATACCAAGCAGAAGTAGGCAGACCCTAGAGGGAGAGCCTCCCTCTCCCTCTAGGGTCCGAACGGTGACCCAGAGAGTTGACCCCGAGGCTGCCAGGGATCAAGGCTGAGTGGCTTCAATAGAGTTGGACAGGGGCTGCATCCAAAGCTCATTGAGTATTTCCATGTAAGGCTCTGGTGCCAACTCCAAGGCAGGGCGAGAGATGAAGGCGACTCCAAAGTTGGGGGG